CTTCCCAGAAGGGTGACACAATCCATCATTTTTCCCTCCACATCACTTTCACCATTATCCCGAACTTTCGCGGATTAGATCTCTCAAGTGACAAGGCGAATCAAATGGAAGATGTTTCCATATGATATGCAATTAGTTATCAAGTAGGCCGAAATCATGAATATTTTATGTGTAAATATATAGATATGTTATTGTTATCACTTGGGGTTCAATGCATGGCACCCCCAAAGGCGAATGAAGGAGACTGTAGTTAAAGGAGCAAGCACTTTTTTCCTTTTCCAGAGGAGTAGATTTGAGAAGGCATTCATTGGCGAAATTTCTTTTAATCTATGGTATCTTAGAAAGTAGATGGCAACCATAGACTAATGATGGAGTCTTCATGAATGCTTCCACTTAATTCTTTTTTTTTTTTTTTCTAACCTTGGGAAATATCTTGTGTTCCCAACCTCTCAACAAGTTGGAAATAGTTTCTATTTTTCGGTACGAAAGTGGGAATAACCAAGAAAGTGGCCTATAAATTCCCTTAAAATAAGGAGGTTGAGGAGCTTGAATAGGCTTTTCTATGTTAAAATAAATCACGTTTTCAGCTTACAGTATGAACTTTTTGAATAGTTGGCAGAGATCTCAGAAAATTTTATATGGCATCGGAGTAGGTTTAGAGTTCAAATCCTTCTAGACCTATTATTTGCCTCACTTATTGTTTACACCAAAAAGTGGTAAAAAATCATGGAAATAGGCATCGGGAGCTTTGGCGTCGGTAATCATGGAAATAGGCATCGGGAGTTTTGGCATCGGTAACTTACCGATAGTTCGCAACTTACCGATAGTGGGTGAGTAGAGGATTGGCATCAGCAACTTACCGACAAAACTGCTTATGGATAAGGGTGGTTATTTGAACGTGGAGAGTGCCTAGAAAATAGGATGATAATAACCACCGTTAGGAAGTTACTTTTTATTTAAAAGTTGTAAATGCTTGTACGAGATTATAAATATCCCAAACTTGTATTTTAAAGCCCCCGAATCAACAACAGAACTCACGTTCTTTATCAGTTTGTCTTTCTTTTATCTTTACATTTCCTGCACTCGTACCTTTACATTTGGCCAAGGCCATTATTTTCCTGCAATTTACAAGCTTTAATTCTTTAGGAGTAGTTCTAATGCTCAGATTCACGTCGCCGAGTCGTCCTCCGATATGAATCTTCATCCCCGGTGCTTCATCGTCGAGTCAAATCCCGGCGTAGTGCTGCCGCTCTTTCAAGCTTCGTCCTCGAGTCAAATTCCGTCGAAGTTAGTTTCGATAGTACTTCCTAAACTTTTCCGTCGAGTCAAACTCCGGTTTGGTTTAGGTTTGTACAATTCCACGTTGATTTTTATGATCGCTTGGATATTTCCTGTCAAATCACCACAGAACCCGTCCTTCAATTAAAAGCCGAAGATCCATTTTCGGTGTTTGTTTCCTTACGGATTAAATTACGGAGAAACAAATTGGCACGCCTGGTGGGACGAATGTGGCTGATTCGAGGAAATATGAAGGTACGTACTCAACTTGATCGACCATCCTGGTGGTGTTACGGGTTATCATGCATAATTGGTAGGACAAGTAACAAGAAGGAGGTGTCAACATCCCGAAGTAATTACCGATGAGCAGAGAAAACAGTTGGAGACAAAAATTCGATCGTAATGGCTTCTATACGGAGGATACAGAATTGGCCCAACCAACAAATGAGACTCCACAAATTGCAGCAACAGATGATGTTGAGTCAAGTTCTACACCTTCTATGTTCGTGAATTCAAAACCGATGCGAAAGGATCAGGGGGCAGGATGGTCAACGACTTGTATGCTCTTCAAATGACAAATTATGAGGATTCGGCTTTTGTCAAGTAGCAGAAAAGTTACCGATGCCAGGGGGCAGATTCAGCTTCTATCAAGTAGCAGAAGTGTTACGGGGCACCTAAAGGCCATTAGTTAAAAGAATCGAATGATTGGTAAATCATTCAATTCTTTTAAGGGGGCATCTGTTTACACCAAAAAGTGGTAAAAAATCATGGAAATAGGCATCGGGAGCTTTGGCGTCGGTAATCATGGAAATAGGCATCGGGAGTTTTGGCATCGGTAACTTACCGATAGTTCGCAACTTACCGATAGTGGGTGAGTAGAGGATTGGCATCAGCAACTTACCGACAAAACTGCTTATGGATAAGGGTGGTTATTTGAACGTGGAGAGTGCCTAGAAAATAGGATGATAATAACCACCGTTAGGAAGTTACTTTTTATTTAAAAGTTGTAAATGCTTGTACGAGATTATAAATATCCCAAACTTGTATTTTAAAGCCCCCGAATCAACAACAGAACTCACGTTCTTTATCAGTTTGTCTTTCTTTTATCTTTACATTTCCTGCACTCGTACCTTTACATTTGGCCAAGGCCATTATTTTCCTGCAATTTACAAGCTTTAATTCTTTAGGAGTAGTTCTAATGCTCAGATTCATGTCGCCGAGTCGTCCTCCGATATGAATCTTCATCCCCGGTGCTTCATCGTCGAGTCAAATCCCGGCGTAGTGCCGCCGCTCTTTCAAGCTTCGTCCTCGAGTCAAATTCCGTCGAAGTTAGTTTCGATAGTACTTCCTAAACTTTTCCGTCGAGTCAAACTCCGGTTTGGTTTAGGTTTGTACAATTCCACGTTGATTTTTATGATCGCTTGGATATTTCCTGTCAAATCACCACAGAACCCGTCCTTCAATTAAAAGCCGAAGATCCATTTTCGGTGTTTGTTTCCTTACGGATTAAATTACGGAGAAACACTTATTATATATTTTCATACTTAGTTTTCTATGCATGAGGGTTGATAGTAATTCTGCAAAATCTTTAAAAACTAATTTCTACTTTTGAATATTGTTTCGATTGGACCAAAGACCAATTAGTATTAAAACGATGTGCCTTGCATTGCCATATATGAGACTCGGACTCTTTGTCTCTCTCTAAAGACAACTTTAGCTAGCACACACGTATGTTGACTTTTCGATTTTCCCTAATTAATGGGTTTACCTTGATTAATACCACTCGGCGACTCTACGTTTGGGCCCCTGAGAAGATTTTCAGCTAATGTCATCATTTTGCTTTACACTACAGAATGGCCAATCACTAGCACAACCTGACAAAATCAGCATTAGCAAATCTCAATAATTAATCCGGAAACTCAACGACGCCGACAAGGAAGCGCAAAGGTTAAAACTGTGAGCTTGTGATCATGAACAATCGAATTCCACCACGTGAAATCAATTGTCGACCACAAAAGTGAAATTAGACAAAAAAAAAAGATTTTTTTAAATGTAAAATAAGTCGGGTCATGTCAAATGAGCGAGCACTTGTGATTCTCATCGGTAATAATGGTTTGCTCAATAACAATAGCTATGGAACCTGAATTGATCGGGATCCATTAAGACAAACACGACGTCGATTGGTTTTCGCACGATTGGACATCGAGCGAAAAGAAAGCGACACATTCGATACAATCAAAGGCTCCGGGATTCTGAATGATTGATGGGCGACACCGGTACTTCAGATGAATTTTCACGCGTTGTATACACGACAAAGGATGGAACCGAAAGCATGCATATGACGGGGAGCGAGAGAAGATAAGGTTTTGGCGGATTTAAGGAGGGGTTGGCATCAGAATTGATTGATTGTTAGGGTTTGGTGTACTTTGAAGTCTTGGGCGGGTATGCATGCATGCATGCATGGGGAGGTTCATTATTGATGGACCATGAGGAACAAGCAACCTTAAACCCCGGAAGGAGGGGCACACACCTGTGTAAGGAAGAGAGGGATAGAAATAATGGGGTGGCAAGTGAGCGAAGTGTGTGTTTGTAGGTGTGTGGGTGTGGGACAAATTAAAAGCCGACAAGCGTGGGGATTGTATTGTCATGTCAAGGAGCCTTTCTTTTGAAAGGTGGGGCTCTCTTCTCTATCTCCCTTTGTACAACCCCACCCAACCAAAAATTGAGACTTGCCCTCCCTCTTTGTTTCATTCTATCCCCCTTTTCTCCCCCTCTTTCGTTGGGACACTCGTGTAGTTCTCGAGAAATCATCGCGCTGATTTGGTAGTTCTTTTCTTCCTAAAGGGATTGACGATCGTCGGGTCATCGATTTCAGCCCGTCGCCGAATTCTTTCGATGTGTTTATAGGTATATGTCGTTGTGACAGGAAAATGTTGCTTTCGAAGCTATGGAAGGGTCTTTTACGGCGGGCCGGCCTTCAAATTGGACTCGTCCAACCATTTCTCTTGCCTTCCTCATGTAATAAAAACATGTCGCACGAGGGAAATTGTCATCGAGCTCCCTTGAAATCTATGCAATTACCCTATGATGAGTGGCACTTTTGCCATCCAATAACACAACATAACATCCATCCAATGGAAATTGTGTGCGGTTTTTTCTACTTTTGCATCGTGTACCCGTTTTTTTTTTCCTTTTCTCTTGTTGAAAAACCCTCCATTTTATTAACTTCGAACGAAATTGTGGAGCTAGTTATATTGACGTCCCTATCATTTTAATCTTACTCGGATTGAACTTGTAGATATGCGGAGATACATCATTGGGAAAAAGGTCGAGCCCAGACCACAGGATGGGGTGAAGGAAGGAGTCATTTATCTTTGTGGCCGAGGATCATCAGATGGCCCATGGTCTCTGGCCACTTTGGAAGTATTTAGTTCACTGTAAGATCCTCACTAGCAGCATCCAAGTTCGGTGAACAAAACATAAGATGAGTAGTGAGATCAGAGATGCCTCACCCTACAAACATTTATGGCTGCAATCCTAGAAACTCGTGTTACTGTCGACGAAATTCTAGACAAATTATGATATCCCCGTTTCAATTTCATGTGTGAGTGAGAGAGAGAGAGAGAGACCTAAAGGTTCTCATTCAAAAGGAGAGAAAATTCATGTCTATACTAGCTTGCACATGTGGTCACGGACTCACGATTGAACCAAGCTGAAAGGGATTCTTAAGTTCATTTGGACTTTATACGTAAAGCAAAATGCCGATAAAATTGGCACGAGTGAGGGGAGGGGAAGCAGCTGAGAAGACATGGCCAATGGATTAACAATTACAAGAACACTTGTGTTACAGCCAAAAGGGAAGGGAGAAGAAAAGAATAAACGGACTCTACTGTGATTAGCAACAAACTACCTTCACAGGACAGGGCAGGTCATACAATTGCCCAGAACATTTTCTGACAGACCAACACATTCTCCGGTTTTTTCTCTTTGTTTTCGAGCATATGCGACTCGACTTCCCACAGGAATTTAGGAGCAATATCTCGGATTCTTTGTATAGTTGATTCCTCATCTCTGATGATGATATACCCCTGCACATTGACATCGTCATCGTCACCAATGAATTCATGAACAGCTGTACCATGCACAAAAATAGCTACAAGGTGGACATCTATGGTGACATCATAGACCGGTGAAATTTCAGCTCATTCCGTTCCAGTTAACCTCAAGCAATATAGTATCCTAAGGTAGAAACGCTATCATTCATTTAGTTCTATACTTTTATTCTCCAATGACAAAAAGAGAGCTCAGGATTTCTGCACATGTAACAGCCGCTTTAGTTAACTCCTAATTTCCTGAAATATCTAATTTTGGAAAGAGATTTACTGTTTGGTGCAACTGATAGAGATGCCATGCGTGTGGCAAATCTTTAATAGTACAAAGCCATGGATTTTGAGCTGAAAATTGCCAAAGGACAGCAGCAGTGGAATGAAGAGGATGCCACCAAAGCGATAAGAATCATACAATACCTCTGGACGCAAAATGCGATCCATCTCCAGAATTATATCCTCCAGCAAGCAACCTTCTCCACCACTCTTATAGTAAGCAAGAAGATTATTCGCATGCAAGAGATCATAGGTCCGAGGGTATGTGGAGAATGGTTCACACCTAAAGCCAGAAAACCAATCATCCATCAATTACGCAGCATCATCACAATAGTACAGCCATATTGGTAGATAGTGTAATACTGGGGTTTGTATAAACCATAAAGTAATCTGATTTTCCTTACCAATCATGAAAAGTGCCAACCAAACCTCGATCATAAATTGCAGATAATGTATTACTTGTGCTAATGGGGACTACATTCATCACCCAAACAGGAAATGTGTTCAAAGCCACGGCAAATCCACCCAAGACTGCATTCATGTCCATCACATTTCTAATTTCAGCTTCATTGATCTTCATTAATTCCCAGTAGCGTTGAACTTGTTCTTGCCAAAAGATTGTGTCAGAAGCAAATTCTTCTGGACTGAAACCTGCCGCCAACAGGGGGTCAATTATGACGCTTCATTATTAAAAGCAAAACTCTTTCAGTATTTCACATTTATGAGATATCTAAATCTGCTTATCAAATGGATGAGGTCAGATACCGCATGGGGTAAAAACTTTCTGGCCCATGAACAATGTGACAACCACATCAATGAATGAATAAGAGCAAATAACAATTAAGACATAATTAACCATGGTATTAGCAAGAACCTTCCATAATATAATAGTTTTTACCAAGCAACAACAAGTACAAAAGAGAACAAACAAATCTTAGAATATGCCCTTAAACATTCATTAGGAAGTTGAATTTATCCACCCCAAATTCCTAGGATTCAAAACAGAATACATACATTAAAAATTTAACCTTTCTTTATACAAAGGCGACAGTTACTATACAAAACAAGAAGTATATGATCATAACATTTTCCATATTTATCTCTAAAAAGAGAATCAGATTTTTACTATAGCCACACTGCACGATGGACATAAGCTGCTAAGTTCATGGGGTTTCTGAAAGAAATTAAAGTAAACATGGTGTTTTCCAATACCAGCAGTGGAAATATAGAAATGTGGTGTTTCATTTGATTGTCTCCTTTTTTGAGCAAGGAGGTATCCCTATATATGGCTTGGCTAAATTAGGATCGCTGAGCTGGACATGCAGCACATTTTCATACATCAAAATAAACCATTTATGCTGATGCTGATCTACATGTTCTGTTCCTCAAGTACTTAAAGCCTTTCCAAACCAGAGTTGATGTTGGACAATAATATCAAGAAAATAAACAAAAAAATTTCTTCATGTTGGACAAACCTAGCTTGCTGAGGCTTTTGGAATATAATGAAAGGCGTTCTGGTCTGGGAGGGAGCTTTTCAGAATCTGCTCCTGCAGTACTTAATGATATGCAGTTCTGCAGTGGAACATTCCATGATGGTTTTGATTCATCAGTTGTCTCACATAGATTCAGGAGCTTCTCCTCCACATTACGTTGAAGACATGACTGGTCATTCTGTTTAATCCAAATTGCAGTTTGAACTTTCTTCGCAATGAGTTTCCAGCACATTGCTCCAGTCAAATTGACCAACTTATCCCATATCATTGGGAATTCTTTATCCTTTTTATAAGCAGGAGGAGCGGAGTAGACGAAATATCCATTAGGACGCAGAAGGCGATTTACTTCTTTGAGTAGAATACCATCTGCAAAAGAATGAGATGAAGGGGGAAAAACATTAGCAAAAGCACCCACATGAAGTAATGTCCAGCCTTGAAAGTACCATTTGTTAATCTTTAGTTACCACCCTATGTAGTCACAGGCTCATCTATCATCAAGGATTTGATGCAATGCTAGCATGATTTCTTTGTCTTGGATAGGTAATCATCAGAAGAACGTAGTTCTCTTTTGCTCACTTGCTCCGTAAAAATGAAAACGGAATTACTAATCAATCTCTAATCTACATGCGCTAAAGTCAAAGCCAAGCCACCAAACCGCATTCTTATCACTTGACTGACAAGATGTTGACAGAACTAGCACATGCTCAAGGTGAGTGTTTACCTAAATATCTATATCTCTAGTTCTACAACTGCACAAAAAATTAAAACTCTAGCATTCAACGAGATGAGGTAATGCCATATCAAGTTTTGAGCTTTGACCAGAAAAACAGTCAGCATGTCTGCGGCTAAAATACAAGTCGTTGACCATAGGAGATGGATATGAAAATAGTTCATCTAATTTGATACCGCTAAAGTTCATCATTTTAGGTTCCCGTCAGTCATTTTATCTTCCTTCCAAAATTTTGGACCAGTTTTAGAGAGCTGTCCTATGGAATCTGCCACCCGCTTATTTTAACTCATCTTCACTTTGCCAGTTGAATTTCTGACAAATCATTCTAAATTTATTGTCCAAATTAGAATAGAAATCTACTGCCATATACCGCTTCCTTTTTATTCACTGTTCAGTACGCTCTTCAAAGTTCAAACTAGATCAGCAGTTGGAAAATATAAACAGTGGGGGTAAGGCATGGTTATTAGTTCGATAAAGAATTACATACATGTGACAATGACTAAAATGGCAGAGATGTTCCCTTATGTAGCTATCATTTACGAAACATGCTTAGGATGATAGAATACCATTCTCATGCCAATCAACACGGCACCTTGAACAATGAACCATCTCAAACGAACTGGAAGGATATGGCAGTTGTTTTGTAGCTATCGCAGCAATCATTGCACCAATTCCACGCTCTAAAGCAAACTGAATTTGATTTTCATGTCCATCTTTTGGAGCAAAAGACATTGTTTGTATGCCCAAAGAAAGAAGATATGCTGAGAAGCTGGCCACTCCACAACCAACGTCTAGAACTTGAACCACACCCGCTGAACGTAAGTCACCTGCCTCATTAGTTGTCATATTTCCCAACCTGCATATAAAGAAAAAGATAAAAAGAGTGATCTCTCGGCAACTCGTTCCATCCATGTGGAGGTACTAATATCAGAGTAATCTGAACAGAGAAGATAGTGGATTGAGGGAAACCAAAGATCTCTACAACAGCAAGTTATAGATTGAGCATATCCCATGCATACAATCACATGATGCATTTGTCTACCCACAAAATGATGCAGGAAAGTGCTGAAACAGAACACTTATCATTCTGGCTTTAGCAGTAGGGCACCTTCACACAGTAAGCAAATAACCTATACCATATACGGTAATACTTATCATTCTAATACTACTGGCCTTCAGGATAGCCTGAGAGAAATCCTAGGATATGCGATTATAGTTCAATGATTCAATTCCAAGATTCTTGCAACACGGCCATAAGAAAATATACTCCTGTAATTTGACATCTATCTTGTCATAGTATCCTACTATCTGTGTGTCACGAAACAGATAAATATCATTGCACAATGATAAAAAATGACGCATCCAAAAAAGCAAAAGAAAGATTTCTTTGTAAGATAGATTCCAATCCTGTATTTAGCGCCTTAGTGAACTGCAACTTCATGTAAGAAGAAGCAAATGTGCAAGAAAAGATGGTAAGTAACCGACCTTTGAATGTACTCAGCAGCCCCGTGCTTGAAGTGAGTACCACCACCAGGGAACCACCACAACTGATTAAACTCATGGACCCAATTTTGTCCTCCTTTTACTTCAGCAAGATGTGTGTGATTCACATTCGTCCGCCAGACGTAATCCCTACTGAGTGGCCATCTTATTGGTATCTTATAACCTTCTGGCGGAGGAACCAAGCAAAACAGACGCTTTTCAGGTGGAGGGCAATGCCTCTCAAGCTCTTCCCTTCGTGATAGATTTAACGTAGGCAGCAATTCTTTCACATAGTTTACATCATGGCAAGGGATATATTCATTAAATGTCAATGGGCACACATCCATCCCACTTTCGGGGATCACAAGAGGTGCTTTTCTGTAAGTGAGTTCAACTTTGTTTGGAAATGCAGACAGCCCTGCAAATGTCAAAAGGGAAAACTGCATCAATTTCACAGGATTAAGACGGTAAGAATCGAAACTTCTGTCGCATGAAAGATGATGACATTCCAGGTCAGGAAGTATGCAGCCAAAATCTCATTTTTCAAGTCACAAACACACCGGCATTTCATCTTTTCAAAGAGATCCGACATGGGTTCAGAGCATGACTGAAGTATGAAGCTGCTGTCACTGTAATCTAGTATCAAAATGTAATCCCTCACTCTCGCTCATCAATGTGTACCCTCTAGGCAAGTCTAGTTGATGGCACAAGAACCAAAGAAGAAGAAAAACGGCCAAGCCAACACATTCAATCCCCAACCACAAAAAAAAAGTCCCTTTAAATGACCCAGGTAATGACGACTACGATAACGTGCATAGCAAGTCCTGTGAAAAGACAAATCCCAAAGAATTACTAGTGCCAACAAACACAGAACGAACGCAGACCCGAACCCACAACAAGATGACCCCTAAACTTCGATCCGCCGCATTTTGCCAGATAATTCGCGACACTAAACACGAGGTTGCGACACAGGAAGAGCGAATTACCAGAAGAATCACGGGCAGAGGAGGAAGAAGAAGTGGAATTGGGGTTGGAGCTGGAGTCGGAGAGCGGCCGAGGGACGTAGATGGGGACTTTGTTGCCGAAGAGGGTGCCCGCGTAGAACGACCCGGCCATCAACAGCAGGGCCGCCATTATCATATGGCCCGATCTCAGATCGAACGCCGATCCCAACGCGCTCCCTCCCATTTTTCTTCCCCCTCACCTCGCGCGCGCTGTCCTTCCTCCCTTCCCTTCCCTTCCCTTCCGTCCCGTGAATGCAGCTCCGGGTCACGAGGCCGAGAGGGTCGACGAGGCCGAGGCTGCCGATCGCATCGTCGTGGGTCGAAGCTGCGTCGCGTCACGGCGGAGGAGCGTTGCGGCTCCGGAAAGCTGTGAATTCACTGAAAATGGCGGAGCCGACCAGGAAGCGAGTTCCTTGTTGGGCGTTTTGGACGCACGTGCGAGCGCGTGGCGATTTCCTTTCTCGGATGAAATTCATGCCTTTTGCTAATTTTCATGTTGTGTCCGAATGGCGCTTACGTCCCGTCCTAGAAATTGTGATCTTAATACTTTGAGATAATGACATAAATAATCTATAAACTTTAGTTCAATTTATAATTTAATTCTTAAATTTTTAATTTTTTCAATGTAATTTTTGAACTTTAGCTAAATATTCAATGTGGTCGATGAACTTTTAATTTGTTTAATATGATGTCTGGACTTTTAGTACATGTTCAATGTAGTCCCTGAATTATATAAAAATGTTCAATATAATCCCTAAACTTGAATTAATGGAATGATTACATTGGACATTTTCATATAGTTCAGGGAATAAATTGAACATGTATAATAAATTCATGGATGATATTAAACAAACTAAAAGTTCAGGAACCACATTGCATATTAGATTAAAGTTCGAGAACTATATTGAATAAATTAAAAGTCCAGGAATTATATTACACGTTGGATCAGAGTTCAAAGATTGTTTGTTTTATTTTTCCTAGTGCTTTACAAACCTAGAAAAGGTCACTCCTCAAAATTTTTGTGCCTTATTTGACGTAATCGATTCAATCAAATCGTGTGTAAATGAATGGCGATGCATAAATCAGCACTATAATAATTTGATGATACCTGCCCTTTCAGCTTCTTTGGGCTCCCTCTGCCTTTTCAAATTAAAAAGATGAATTTTATTACAAATAGCGAGGGAGGGAAACAAAGGAGGTGGATTATATCTTTGAACGATGCAGTTTGTTTCAGTTTGTTCCGAATGTTTTGGGCGTGGCACGAGAAAATAAATTCTAATAACGAGGTATGGTTTTTGCCGTTCCCGTATAGTGTTTGATGATTACGAGAAATGTCTATTTGTTTGAGCGTTATATTCCTACCTTATTTTAATATAACTATTCTGCAAATTATTGATTGTAATTTTCTCGTATTGCCACCGACACGCTTTCCCACTAGACAAATGGTATTAAAGCCATGTTTCCCATACGCAGTAAGACGGTGCCTTGTGTATAGTAGAGGGGATCCTAGGAGAGAAGCAAGCTAAACGAGAGAGAATACCAAAACAAAAAGAGGTGTGCTTTGGAAATGGAGTCTTCCTACCATTCATTATTGGAAAAGGGTAATTTAAATTTTATGGTATGGTGTATGTTTTCGGCCATTTTGGGTGTGGATTTAGTTTCCTTGTTCTAATTATCTATGTGACGGATTTGAGTAATATGAGCTTCAATTTTCCTTCTAGGAGTATAGAAGCCAAACCGTAGTCTTCAAATTCGCCACCATCGATCTCACTGACAATCCTCCTAATTTTGATTTCGACTCGCCACCTGCTTCTCAATCATCAACGGTTTGCATGTCATGTGTTTCCCGGTTGTAGTTTCAAGAAACCCATAACATCCCCAGGCTGCTGCTAGGGCTTTGCTGCGCCTGCCAGTTCAGGCTTTTGAATCTGGTTGTTCATGTTGTAGGCCAAATGAATCTCTCTAGTTTCCTAGTTCTGATCTGGAGCTTCGGCAAGGACACCTTTAAAGGTTCGCTTTCGGTGAGCTAAAGGCAGCTACCAACCACTTCATAACGAAAAGATTGTGGGCAGAGACGGGTTTGTTGCACTGAAAGGTGGTTGCTCATGCTTCCTCAGTATTCTCCTTTCCCTTTCTTTAATTTTTTTTAAAGGGTTATTGTAATTTTGAACTTAAAATGAGAAACTCTTGCAAATACAAAAGCCTGGCTTCCCTTGGGAATTTTACATGCATCGGCAACTTGACCGGAGGATCGTAGATCCTCATGTGTGCTGCTTTATGCAGGCTCTCTTCTTTGTAACTTTTATTTGATACTCCCTACAAGATAACTTTCAAGAAATTTTTGTATTTCAGGGACATGCCTTTGGTTTTGCCCATAGAATGCACGTCTACTCAGACCGTAGCATACTCATTTGTGATTATTTATCCCATGGGACACTCCAAGTAGGCATATGACTTCCCTAGTTGTGGTTTGCTCAAGTCATGACTTTTCTAGAATATCCCTTGAATATTGCACGTAGGATGCCGCGTAACTCTTGTTTGGCGATTGGCGAGACCATGGAAGAAGTGCTATGCATAGAGATGCTCCCCTTGTTAGAGACTTTGCATGCTGATAATCTACTCATTCGATATGCAAGGTGAAACTAGCTTACGCACTTGAATGAATGGTGTCAATGTACACCATCCAATTCATTAGTCGATATTGGTTTTCCAATACGTAGATTGGTCATAGAGCATATCACTTGTTTCCCTGTCCATATGTCTCAACCTTTCGTTCATCTCATTGGATGTCGTTTTTAGCTTAATGCATTTAATAATTGTTCAGCATGTTTCTGTATGGACTTGTCTAAATTTTAAATTGGAAATTTTTTTGAGTAATCCTTTTGACGGAGAAACTCTTGGATACTACTGGACAGCTATACTCGTTTCCTCATCCAGATTTGACATGATATGACCAGGAACTAGAGGCTCTTGGCAATATACCCATCAATGTGGATAAGCTTAGTTCATTTGAATAATTGGTAACATAAATTGAATCAATTTCTTGATAGGGATGATCTTTCAATAGAAGGATTCGAGGATTATAGCGGTCAATGGAGTGCTCAGGTCAGTTCAATTTGCTCAAAGGCTATAGTGGTTTTACTTGGAAGTTGGAATTCTCTAGGTTTATGCAAAACATCATGTAGGGTCTTCGTTTTGTGGACTAGGGAAGGGGAATAGATTTGCATCTTTTTCCCGATAATACCGTATTCGAAGGAGATTGCCGGACTTTTGGCTTTCATCGCGTCGAGATGCAAGAGGATAAGCCATGGAGGTATCGGGTATTAAATTTATTTTGAATCATCACCACTCGCTGCAGTATTATGTTTATTTTGTTTTAACTTATTGCTGCTTCGGTTTTGAGCTGCACCATATGGTCTTTGTGTTGTTGTCCACATGATGTTGCATGGTACCTACATGGAAATAGAAAAGTTGGATATCTTCGTATGGAAGCTATTTTTATCGACCAAAATCCACTCTTAAACGGTACTTCTCTCTCGCATCTCTCCATTGAACTTGTTGACCAATATCCAGTTGTATAAGCACTACCGGTTCACAGTTTTATCCCAAATCTTGCCATTGCTCCCTGCAAAAGTCCATTTTGTCCCATTTGGTTTCAGCTTCCTTCTGCTACCACTAATGTTCTTTCCACTGTCAGCTAAGACAGTTTTCTTCTGATTAAATTGCTTTCAGATACTGCAATGTCGATCAATGGAAGCATATGTTGACAAGGTTAGTGAACACTGGCCCTGGCAACCATGATCTAACTTTGTTGCGGAGTGTGAGGCAATCCTTTGAAGACTACATGAGCTCCAATAAACAGCTTATTCAGAAGCTTAAGGATCCGCTCTTGAGGCAGAGAGCATCCTTATGTTCAGCGTATCGCCTCCATACATTTTTGTGTTCTATGTGAAGTGCCCCGAAGAGTTGATTATGTTGCAGTCCGACTAGAGAAAAAGATATAGCAGGGTGAACTGCTTGCATCATCTTCCGGTTGATGCACGTGATCCTTATGCACTCTTTATTTCTCATTAAGCGAAGAATTTCATTATGAGGGGGCCGCAAACCTTGTATGTATCTGTATTCTGTAGAGCAACAGCTCTTGCAAATGTCAAGCATCTCCGCTGGTATAATGTTGAAATATTTTATTCATGGATAGAATGTTATAAATCATGTTCAATGTTAATAAATATGAGTGAGAGTCGTTATACGAATTGCCGAATAAAAGAATAAACTTCAATTCTAAGAAATTACATCTTCTACTAAAAGCAAAAGCTCTTTTGAAAGAATATCCAAAAACGCTTTCTACTTCGAGAACAAGAATAGTAAAAATAAATAAATTGATCCATCTTCATCTTTGCTTATTAATTTAATCTTTACTTAATTAATAATAAAATATTTTTTTGATTTCTTCAAATAATTTTATATTCGCTATATTTTCATTTTCAATTAAAAAATTAATTTTAAATAAAAAACGACTCTAAATTAATAAAAAATCGAACATAAGAAATCTCCCAATTTCCTAGGTCTCGATTGGGTTTTTTTTTTTTTTTTTTTTCGGTATGTCCTATTCTAACTCTCAACTTACTTTCAAACTTTTGCCTTATTTCTTGAAAGCGTGAGAGTCGAAATCCACATATAAAACTACACGTCTTCACACCTAGACTCTCTAAGAAGGTGGAGAATTGAACTCCCCACCTCCTCCTTTCCAAGTAAGAAGGGTGGCCGCTAGGGCAAACCCTAGTGATTTTTTTTTTTTTCACAAAAGATAATGGTTCGGTAGGGACTCGGCCCATTGGGCCACATGGTAGGTTTGTCCCGTGCTTTCGCCTAAATGGGCTCATGAACCGACTGGGGTGTCAACAGGTGGGTTTGCAAAGAATCGCACTACGGGTCCAGCCCAAAGAGGATCCGAGTCCCAATTACCCTAGTCCCCTCACTTAAGTTACAAGTTCCACGGCAAGTCTCGGTTGATTTTTTCCTTCGCGAACAAAAACCCTATCTTCCACCCCTTAACTTCTTCATCTCTAGCCACCCTCTCTTCCTCTCCTTCTCTTCTTCAATCCTAACCACCCTCTCTTCCTCTTGTTTTCTCTTCCTATGGCGTCTTCTCTGGCTTAGCGATCCCACGTTGCTTTGACCGCATTCACGCTCGCCCGAGCCAAATATAGTGGAGGTGCTCAAGATCACCACCAATCTCCATTAGAAAGGAGGGCTGCGACAAATAGCGTACAAACTAATTATTGTAATGCGCAACGAGAATTTAATTTGCTGGTGGAAGAATTGCGCGGATGACAATTTTTGCTCATACACACAGCCGAGCAAGCAAGGTGTCACCAAAATTCTGGACGAGCATTTGGATAACCCTGACATCTTGCAAGAGGTGAGG